GAGAGAGAGAAAGAGAGACTGAGTCACGAAGAGGGGCCAATATGAAAACGCTAGAGGAAGAGGGATTGATTTTATCGTGCGGTATTTGCAAAAGGGAAATGGAGAATGGTACGGGGATGGATGGGTCCCTATTCTTCTAAGATTTGCCACATGAAACATCAAAACTTTTTTCCCTTTTTTTTTTTTTTCTTATAGTGCATCAAGCATCAAATTTAGTAAGCATGGAAAAACAAAGGTTAATAATGGTATTATGGTACTATGATGTCATAATTACCCATTCATATTATAAATTGAGACAAATCATCCATTTTCTAATGTATGATATCAAAATTCTATTTACCGCTTAAGCATTTTTAATGAAAATTTGATATCACACGTTAAAAAATAAGTAATTTGTTTCGATTTATAATTTAGAAAAATAATTTATCCTTATATATTTTTTTAAATGAATATATCCATATCCCTTATTTATGGGTGAATTTGAGAGTTCTGCCTTAGAGTTTTAGTACCTCTTCCCTTTATCTTTCTCTCTTTGTGAGAGATGTCACTGGAGATTTAGCGTTGTGAGGGGAAAGAGGCCAAAATGAAGCGCTTGAGGTAGAGGGGTTGATTTTATTTTGCGCTATGAAAGAAAGAAATGGAAAATGGTATGGGGATGGATGGATCCCAGTTCTTCTAAGATTTTCCATATAAAGAGTCAAACTTCTTATTATTTTTGTTTTGACACAAGTTTAGTTTGACAACATTGTTCGGTGTTGCCTATAACTCTAACTATTATCTCCCAAATCAAAGAGCTTGAACTTAATATTCCCAATACTAAGCTCACGTGATGTTGGACAGTCTCGAACCTGGCTTGACAGTCCTCGCCAGGACCTCGGCGAACCGTTCACCAACTATCAATGTCCGAACCCAAGAGCTTAATTGCCCTAGTAGTTATTATTGATATTCAAGCAGATAAGGTAAAATGAAGCATGAGGGGGCACTTAATCAGTTAAGTTCATCAGTTTTTCATCTTTTCTTAACTCAAAAGATGAAAATCAGCTCACAAATCAGGTTCAATTAAGAGGGGAATTCTGGGTTTAACGAAACGTAAACGATGAAACAAGATTTAGGGATTCAGAATTTCATTCCAGTTAGATAAAAACCGAACAAAGCGGTCACAACAATTAAACCCAATTGATGAAAAATCAAATAAACACAGATAATTATGAAATTAAAAACGAACCTCATGCCCCAACCAAGAAAGCAAGGCGGTGTTTTCATCACTTTGAGGACCCAGAAGCAAGATCTTCGCCTCCTTCTGCCACAGACCGAGGGAAGCAGGAACTCGATAAAACCAATCGATAAGAAACATGGCTTAATTCTCGATACGATCAGATCGAAGTCGAATTGGGAAAGATATAAGTATTAGCTAGGTACTGTATTAAGTTAGAATAATAATAAATAGAACAGAAAACTGTTTTATGACTGGACCTCCACCTCAATTCTTCCTCATGTTTTCGGCTTCTCCTCCATTCCCATTTCAGCTTCAGAAGTGAAGCATCTGTTGTATTGTCACAAAAAAGCATTTTAGTGTTGGATAATCATATTTCAAAAAAATTATTTATTGTAAAATTACTTCATTAGATATATTATTATTTAAAATTAAATTAATTAATAATTTAATATATAATGTATAAAAAAATTTGAGAATTTTATTAAATTATTTTAAAATTCTATTAATTTTCAATAAAATGACTTTTGTATTCCTTTTTGAAAAGTATGGATGAATAATTTAACTATCAAATGCATAAATTATAAAAGGTTCTGTAAATATATGCAAAACATATTGTAAAGAGCATTGTCAAACTAAGTTATAATACATTAATCATTGAATTTAGTAAGCCTGCTAAGGCAAAGGTTAATTATGGTATTATGGTAATGAGATCGATGGCAAATAAGTCTTAAGGTTGCTATTTGCAGTAAATATGCTTAACACAAACTGGATCGATATGGACACGTGAGTCGTGACAATTATGTTTATTAATATGTTATTTATCATTTTCACCTTAAGTACATTTACTATATATATATATATATATATATATATATTAAAACTAAGAACTTTTTGAGAGTTTATTTTTTATCTAAATTTCATTATTTTAAACGTCTGTATTAACAATCTAAGAGTAACTACCATATGACTTGGCATATGAGTGGAACATGGCCCTCTCCATCCACATAAGGGACATTTACTATGGAATACAACTTTGGGATTTATTTGTTAATAGAGTTTTATTAGATGCTTATTCGCCAATAACATTGCTTTGAGACGTTAATTTGATTATTTTTCCTTTTAGAAATTATATAAATATAAAAGTGAACAACACTTTGATCGAAAGAACTTATGTTATTGACAAAAAAACATAAAAACGAATGTAATTATCAATCACTAATTAAAAGTTTTCAATGGTACAATACAGGAAAAGTTATAAAGAAATGATACATACACCCTCTAAAGTTACACCTTCCAAAGTTACATCTTCCAAAGTTACATCTTCCAAAGTTATACCCTCCAAAATTACACACTCTGTTACACACTGATATTTTTCGTTAGTGTGCCGTTAAAATAGACAATTTTTGTTACTTGTGCCATTAAAACTAACAATTTTCGTCATTTTTAACGACACACTAACGAAAATCGTTAATGTATAACAAAGTATGTAACTTTTTTTTTTTTGCACAACAAAAGGAATATATATATATAATATATATGGGGTACAAGGGGTACTCCAATTCGTTACACTACAAAATATTACATAGCAGAGATAGAGAATAAAAGTGTAAGGCCACTGCGAGAACCATCAACACTGGATAAGTTCAGTAGAGAAGGATCATCTTATCGCTGTCATGAGTCCATCACGAATTCCCATCCTGCAGCAATGTTAATTTATTTCCTCCTTCTATCTTTCAAGCATTCCATAGGTTCCAACATCCAATTGCATAGGTTGAAAGAATACCCTAGTGATCTGTTTTTGATCCATTGGAATGTCCGTAGTTGCACCAGCTCAAAAATCCTGTTGACATCTTGTTCTTGGTTTTTGAAAGCCCTTTCATTTCTAGCAGTCCATAAAGACTAGATTGTTGCAAACCATACTGCATCCCATCCTACCATACTGCATCCCATCCTACCTTGATATTTACATTTTTAAAAGAGGCTAATTGTTGTACAAATGATTCATAGCAATTATCAGCTCTAACCGATGTAATTCTCCACCATTGGAGGCATTTGGACCACACTGAGTATACAATTTTACAATGAATAAATAGATGATTTGTAACTTTTGAAAGGTATATGTATCAATATTCAAAGTTATTACAAACATAGCACAATACAATAAACCATCCTCAATTGCAAATTTTTTTTTTTTTTTTGGTATCATGAGAGTGAGAGAACATGTTAAAAGAAAGGATAATCATTAATATACTATTTAATTTAATATATTTTATAATATATTTATTTAAAAAATATTATTTTTAAATTTAAATTCAAAATAAAAAATTTTTAAGTATAATTTTAATAATGGAACTAATGAAAGTTGAACAGAAAATTACCACTCATTTTCTAAAAAGAAAAGTTCTTTCTAAAATATAAGTTAAACTAATTGCTTTCACGTTCTTATTTATCATTTGAGTTTCATTGCAAAGGACACGAAACAGACCAGCTTTTTTTAAAAAAAATTTTCTATTTGATTTTTGTTTTGAATCATTCAACTTTTATAACCTACCATAATATATACATGTATCAGTAAAATTCATGAGGCTTGCATGTTAGTTGTTACTATCATGTCAAAATTTGTGATAAATGTATTACTATTAGTTAAATCTCTTTTGTTCAAATCATATGCAGGATGTGTTAAAAAAAAAATTATAGGATGTTGGTAGAAAAAATTGACTATGCATTTTTTAGGTTAGCAGAAAGTATTTTATTGGATAAGGTATTGGAGTGAATTAATTTTAAATAAAAAATAATCTTTCTTTTATATACAATGAAATAGAACACAAACTCATTATCACTAAATATTAATTTTAAAGAGTTGGAGTAGCTTAGATGGCTGGAGCTTGAGTGTGACTATTCGGCACCATAAGTTTACTGTGTGATTGTAATTGTGCCACTTTGAAAATTTAGCTTGGAACTAAGTTGGCATCTTGAGTGTCGGTTTCTTTTTTCTCCACAGCTATACATCACTTGAGCACTCTCCTACATTTAACATTTTGAACTCTGAAGGGTTTATATTTTGGAATTCTGTATGGGGAAGACATTTTTAGGATTATATTTCTTAGCATTAATTGAGAGGATGGTCATTCCAGTTGTAAAATAATAATTAAAAAGGAAACATAAGCGAAAAAGAAATTCTAACCTCAAACGCCTCCACGTAACTGATATAAGAAGTTTCAATCAACTTTGTAATTTAGATTATTTTCAAGAACATGTAAATATAGATAGAAAATAATGTATATTAGTTCTGAATCTTATTAAAAAAATTAGAGCTCTAATTTTAAATAACATTGTCTAGTTTAATTAAAATTTATTTTAAAATTTAAAAATCTACTTTATTAAATATTGATATTTGTATTTAAAAATCAAAAATTCAATTCAAAATTTAAAAATTTACTTTATTAAATATTGATACATAAATTTAAAAATTAATTATATTAAAATATATAATTAGTTTTCAAACCTTAAACAAAATCATTTCATTTAATTAAAACTCAATTCAAAATTAAAAAATTTATCTTATTAAATATTGATATTTGTATTTAAAAACCAAGA